ATGCAAAGTCACATGATCTGAAAATTTTTGCGAGGCGGGTTGAGTTTTCTATTTAATCATTGACCGGTCATGACCATTATGAGTAATATTTAGCAAAGAATTTTGAAAATAGGTATAAATTCAATAAAAAAAAAAGTACTAATTCTTTCAATTGATTATGTACGGGCTTTTTCTGGTGTCTGTTCCTATCATATTATTCTCGTTTTGTATGTCTTTGATTAATTTAATTGACTTTATAATGTAATCAATCAGATTGGCGAAGAAAAATTGTCGCTCGCACTTGCAAGTAATCTTGGATATAATCGAAAATTTCTTGACTATCATTTTAAGTGTTTGGGCGTTGAAATAATTTTTTTGACTAATGTAATTTTTTGGTTTACCACCTCTTAGTTTCCGTTTCCTAATATATTTCCCAGCTTTCAGATATCTAAAAATTAGGATGTCGATTTCTTTGTGTGTTAATTTGGTCTGATATTCCATTAAATTCCTCTTTTTAATCTTGATATTCTTAACATTGAAACATGAATTTAAAGATATTTTATCATAAATAGTAGCATTTTTGTGATTTTTACAAATGTTGAGAAAAGTTTGTGGATTAAATTTTTGAAGTATAGTTGTAAATTCTTGAATGTTATCCGAATGGTATCTAAATATTAAATCATATATCGGATCAATTGTGATAATAACATCACCAAAAAGCTCCTCCATATGGGATACATGCTCATGATTCTTTACCAAGATGAATAAGATGTTGATGTTGAAATATCTCATGTTTGTCCATAAATTCATCAAGTTGTATTTAGAATCCAAAAAAGTCTCACTCGTGATATCCAAAGAATATTGTATGTTGTTCTTACCCCATTGGTTATCAAAATTACTAATATTCCGACAAAGAATTTTAACAAAATGTTGAAATGTGTAGACATCATTGACATTTTTTATCTCATCTAAGAATTCGAATTTCTGATTAACGTAAACTGGAACTATAAGATTTTGGTCCTCAGGGTTATTTTGAATTTTTAGTAATGGATTAGACTTTTTTTTATTCATGTTTGTTGCTGTATTGATATTTTTTTTGAGCGTGAAAGTCAAGAATAGCTCTTTAAATAATTAAT